ACCTCACATCATATTAATACATTAATACAAAATAACTTATAATTCAAATGTTGTTAGTTAATGAATGTATGCAGGCTGAACAGTTTATGTTTACTGTGCATTCATATAGTACAGTATTTCTCTTCAAAGACACCTCTTTGGACCATTATCATGCAATTCAGCGTTCAACACTCCAGACAACTTTTCTCGAAGGATTCTTGATCCTTTCTTTGTGGCATGCACCTGGTCTCTTAATATCTCTTACTATCTGAGAGAAATAGAGACTGAGCTAATTGCCTGACGGAGGCCAGCTATGCGGTTCATGACAGCAACCTCTGCATTATACTGCATATGAGTTCTCTCTACCACCAATATTAAATTAAGAATTGTGATTACATCATTCTGCATTTCAGCTTCTCATCAAACTTTCTGTCCAATCGAATGCGAATCAAAAAAAAAAAAAAAAAAGGTAACTTTTACTATAATAAAACCATGGTTCATTTTCATAAAGGAAAGAATCAATAAAAATTGTTCTTCAACTGCTGACAGTCTTTCTGAACCATGCAAAAAGAGACAAATTGGACAAAATATCAGCACTGCTGGGATGCCGCTCAGCTATATAGTTAAGTTATAATACGTGACCAGCTCCGTCATTTAGAGTCATTCAAAGCCAGAAACACATTTTGAGTTTGATGCATGGAATGACAATGTAAACTCTCTGCTTTCTGTCCAGTGGGCAATTGATGTTGAAAAGACATCCAAATTGACATAAAAAAAACAACAACAGAAAAACAGGTCAAACATGCAAATCAAAATGACCTCAACAACTTAACATGACATTTTAAACTGAACTTCAAACATATTGACCTACATATACATTAAACTCATTTCAGTGTGGGATTAACGTCCTATTTTCACCCCATGTTTGACGTCAAATCAACATCATAATTGATAATTATGACTACTCCAAACTGTTGTCAAGATATGATCATTTAAAAAGTGACCATCTTAAAGGGGTCATCTGATGCGATTTAAATTGTTCTTTCTCTTTGGAGTGTTACAAGCTCTTGGTGCATAAAGAAGATCTGTAAAGTTGCAAAGACTAAAGTCTCAAATCCAAAGAGATATTCTTTATAAAAGTTCAGAGTCAGCCACGCCCCCCTAAAACGTCTCGTTCTAACATGCCCCCACATGTCTACGTCACTATGTGGGAAGATTTGCATAACGCCGCCCAAATGTGCACGCAAAGAAAGAAGGCGTAACTTTTATTCTCGCTGTAGTATTGTTGCTGCCGCCGCCGTGTCGTGAAGACGCTGTGTGCTTCGTTATGAAAGCGAAATACTTTGTTTGGTCTTCCAAAAGAGAACGATATCCGCTTCGTCATGCCTAGAGCTGATCTGTGCTGGTCGCTGACTCGTCGCTCCGGCCGGACAGGGCATCACAGTATGGTGAGGGGCGTAACATTTCCGTCACACGCTTGAGGTATTCGACCAATCACAACGCACTGGATAGCTGGCCAATCACAACACACCTCGCTTTTCAGACCGATGAGCTTTGTAAAAATCGACACGTTTCAGAAAGGCGGGGCATAGAGGAGAAACAATAATGTACAGTATGTGGAAAATAATGTGTTTTGTGAACCTTAAACCGCATAAACACATTTCATTACACCAAATACACCAAATAATGTTCTTTTTAGCAACATCACATGATGCCTCAAAAGATTCCAAAATGATTTTTAGTTTTTGTACAGAATAATTCATGCAAACAAGCACCGAGGATAGGCTACCCCTGTATTTATGACAACTTGCATATGTTGTTGCTCTCCTGTATAATTCTTATTTCCATTATGTGACAGACATCATAGTCAGTATTACTGAACGCTTGTGCATCATGTTTCGTTTTACCGTAAGTCATCGTGTATCGCCTTGGTTTTTAGTGTCGTATCGAGCTCGGACTCTACAGGGAGGAACCCTCTAAACTAATTATTAAACGCCTCGATTAACAACATCCAGCAACCTGTATTTGATTGTTTTTGAACATGAGAGGATGAAAACAAGTGAGTTCTGCCAGAACGGTCTTCTCTTTCATATTTTCAGGTCGAGAAAAACCATTATCCTTCATCTGCGTTTGCACGGTGTTCTGTCATGCCATTAAAGAGTCATTGACTTCTAATACGCAGATGGATTGTACTCGAGTATTATGTAATATCTGACGCTGTTAAAGGCTGTATGTGAAATGTTTTTCCTGATGTAGGCGCTCATCATGGAGTTCGGGAATGTGAGTGCGCGTTTATTAGAAGGATTGTGAGCGCGAGTGGAAAGTGTTGTGAGGCTCTTCTGTACGTGGCAGCGACTAAAAGCACTGCAAAACAGCTGAACTAGCTGCTCTTTCCACTCAGACCGAGGTAAGCGCTGTTACATTTCAACCATTTACGCCGACTGTTTGATTTGTAACAGTTCTGCGTTCCACGCGACAGCAACATAATAACGTTACCTTTGACATCTGACCTTTACAGAGCTCTTATTGCTACAGTGTTTCTGATGATGCTGTTCAGATTCTTCCATTGCGTTCACGTCTTAAAGTACAGAATATCAGCTGACTGTAAGCTTGAAGTTGTACAATAGCGTTTTTGATCATGTAAAACCTGTATTAAAATAAGCTTGGCTACGTTTATATCGTTTGTATTCCTTAAATACTAGCTGTTCGTTCATTTCTGAATTTTTGGCACAAGTGTAATGTGAAATATACTCTACTGTTTTAATTTATTGATTTATGTAATTCCACTTTTACCTATTTTATCAGTAGACTCAAGTTATCTGCTGTAACGAGTCTAATATTAATATTACTGAGTATGATTTAGTTTGTTTATAACAGCATGCAGTGTCTAAATGTAGCTGAAGATCTGCATTGCTTTATTAGAGTTATATATATATATATATTAAAGAGTTTTGCTGATGTTCTCCAGCGGTTGAAAGCTTCAGGCACACACTGCTGTAAGCAGCAGATCCTCTTGGGCTGGACAGAAAGTTTTCTAGAGTTTTCTAGAGTTTTCGCTCTCATGCACTCACTTCAGAAATATGGGAGAGTTCAGAGGTTGTGTTGGATCGCTCTTAAGGTTAGTCTTTTTTAGCAGTAAGCTTATGTTATTTGCCTTGAGTTAAATGATTTGATCAATATTGCTTTGCTCTCTTGATGTGAAAGTTTGACTCGGTTCAGATGGGACAGACAGATCACTGGAAGAGAGCCCCGCACACAGGGAAGAATCTTCAGCCTCGTCCAATGACCTTTCACCGTCCAAAGCTTAAAGAAGGACCATCAGCATAAAAAAGAGCAGCTGAAGAGAATCAAACGCTGCTGAGTTTACGTTACACTGAGTGCAGAGTCAGTCTGAACATGTGTGATTGTTTAATGAATTATACGGCTAAATGCTTGCATTGTAAATTACTAACCGAGTCGCACAAATTTACAACTCTTATAGAGGTGGAGAAAAATATTTATCGATGACTGTGGATCAATCCATAATATTCTCACTTACTGTATTTCTGTTTCAGGTGTATTGCAGAGAAAGTAGGACTATATTACAGAATCTTGTCTCAGAAGTTTGCACGAGCCACTTTAATTCACTGAAAATCCGCTCTTTAGATTTGCTAAAAAATTGTGATGCATCAAGAATCGTGTTTGTGACTTTCTGAATCCGACTCGGATTGAATCGTGAGGTCTTTAAATGGTGACCTATTTTAAAGGACTTGTGGATTCTCTGTGGTTTCCAATTTAAGTGCATCCAGTTTCACCCACGCCCAGTTAAACCGTTCCTTCTGGCAAGTTGTTCGCTGTGACAGTAATGAGCGGTCATTAGCTAGAAACTTAGTTAGTTCCCACCCTCACATTTGAACCAAAGAGTTTGCTGTTTGTGACCGTGACCAATTCCACTTACACTTTTGCGATTATAAAATCAGCAGTAGTCAAGTCAAGTCAAGTCTGCTTTATTGTCAATTCTTCCACATGTGCAGCACATACACACAGATAATTGAAACTGCGTTACTCTCAGACCCTTGGTGCATCAATACAGATTAAATACAAAATACAACTATACAAATAAGGTAAAATGTAAAAAAATATATATATAAAGCACAAGGCATATGGCAGATAGAGTGCAAACCAGTAAAGTAAACAACAGTGCAGATATAAAGATTGTAGTGCAAAAAAAAAGATTTGTAGTGCAAAAGAGCTTATTCAGACTGATTTAAAGTGACAGTGTGACAGTGTGATAGATACTCATCCCAGAAAATTACATCTTAAAAATGAAGAACATACTGGTTCTCCACTGTGCTTTCGAATAAAGGCAAAAAACTAATAAAAAAAAATAGAAATAATCTTATATAAAATGCATTCAGTGGCTCTTTGTGTTTTTTAAAGAAGTCTCTTCTGCTCGTCAAGGCTGCATTTGTTTGATCAAAAATACAGAAACAAAAACAGTAATATTGTGAAATATAATTACAATCTAAATGAACAGTTTTCTATTTTAATATACTTTAAAATATTATTTATTTCTGTGATGCAAAGCTGAATTTTCATCAGCCATTAGAGATTTCTGTTTTAAATGAATGCTGTTTGTTTTAACTTTTTATTCAGCTAAAAAATAAAATAAGAAGCAGCAAAACTGTATCCAGCACTGATAATAAATCAGCATATTATGATTTCTGAAGGATCATGTGACACTGAAGACTGGAGGAATGATGCTGAAAATTCAGCTTTGCATCACAGGAATAAATTATATTTGAAAGTACATTAAAATAGAACACTGTTATTTTAAATTGCAATACTATTTAACAATATTATAGTTTTTTTCTGCATTTCTGATCCAATAAATGCAGACTTGATGAGCAGAAGAGACTTCTTCAAAAAACATTAAACATCTTACTGTTCCCAAACTTTTGAACGGCAGTGTGTGTATACAGTATATCTTTTGTAGTCATACTCTTGTTTTTCACAATCTCAGTTTCTGAAAATTTACCCGTATGACTGGTTTTGTGCTCCAGGGTCACTAATGTACTTTTTTGGTCCTCTGGTCATTTCTTCGTCATTTTTCTATGCTACAATTTTGCCTTCTCCTTTCACAGGCCAAATGACAGACCTGATATTTGCAGAGAGGGAGCTTGTCCAATCCCTGAAAGAATACATTGAAGCAGAAGAGTTGAAACTCGAAGCTGTGAAGAGGTGAGTCTTTCACTAGAATATATGACTGCACATGAACCAGTGACTCATCTGTGTTTTTTTTGTTGTCCATCTGCTGGCTTCAGCTGGGCTAATAAACTGGATATGCTGACCCGTGCATCCACGTCGGACCCTGAAGGCTTCCTGGCTCACCCGGTGAATGCCTACAAGCTGATGAAGAGACTCAACACCGAGTGGTCCGAATTAGAGAGTCTGGTGCTGCAGGACCCGTCAGATGGTACAGTATATCAGCTTTCATCACAAGTCATGGAAGATTCAACTTTGAGAAAATTGTAATGGGGAATGTTAAAATCAAAAAATGGTCAGGATTGGACAGTAGATTCATGATAGTTTAATGTTTTTTGACACTATAATTTGGTGGTATTTTTTTTTTTTGGCCTTAATTTATTCAGCTTCCTTTTGAGATATGACAAGCGTTTTCGGCTGAAGCAAATGTTGAACATGTTTGAACTGGTGTAAGGTAGAGTTCCCAGACCTGGCAAAAGTAAAATCCTAATAAGGACTGTATATAAAATGTTGTATACGTTTGAAATCATTAAGATTGTTTTGAACGATGTTGCATTTATTTGATTGAAAAGACAATGAAAAGTACTCTTTTGAAATACTATTACAATTTAAAGAACTGTTTTCGATTTAATATATTCTATTGCATTCTTTATTACATTCTTCACGTTTACATATGTTACTTTCAGAAACTTAAAAAACACTTGATGTTTGATGTTCTCTGTATCTTACACATTTCCAGATCATGGCATAACGAATGAATAACTCCAGCTGACAACTATTATCAATATATCCATCTTTATCCATATTCATACAGTGTACTCGCATAAAGCAAAATATACTATACAGCAAATCTCAAATGCTTGATTGTTTGTCATTGCCTTATGAAAACTATCCTATCGCCTAGCTCTAAACTGCAAAATGTGGACTATTGATGATTTTCTGTAAAGCTCCTTTGAAACAATGTGAAAACTTGTGTGAGCTTGTGTGAACATGTGGTGCAACATGTTGCCACGTGGAGTTCTTGAGAATGTTTCCACTTAAATGAAAGTCATGCAAGGGATGATAATGTACAGTCACTGTCACTGGAAATAATCAGGACCCCAACATGATGAGTTAAACTTTCATTATTCAAAAATATTTAACTACATGATACTGCTATTATCCAATGAGAATCATGCACTCCAAAGCGCTGTGTCTTTATAATAAGGGATTCTCATGCCTTAAGTCACGTGTATTAAAAAGCTCTTATTTTTACTTTTCTTCTGAAGGCTTCATATCAAACATGTCTGTGCACAGACAGAATTTCCCTGATGATGAGGACGAGAAGGGAGCAGCCAAAGCGCTTATGCGTCTGCAGGACACGTATAAACTGGACTCGGAAAGTTTCTCCAAAGGCAATCTGCCAGGTCAGAGGCAGCACTCTGGTAACTCTTGTTTTCACACGTCTTTGTTTTCATTTTGAGTCCTTCAGTTAAAGACACTGTGATAAACAGAGACTGTCATTGCAACACTTTCAAAAGAGGAACAAATCAAATACATCCTTACTATCAGTGAGACTTAAATAGAGTTTTTTGCTGCTGAGGCAGTAGTTTTGACATTCTATTTGTAAATGCATGTGCTTAATTTAGAATTTGTATTTTTTTTGTCATTTTGAAACAGGAATGGTACCTTGATTTGGCAATTAGGGGCCAAGCATCAATGGGTAGGGCCAATAGATGATGCCAGTGCAATGCATGCTTTCAATTTCCACGCAGTTAATTAAACTAAAAAAAAATTCTGATTAGGTAACAATAACTTAATGAAGTTGTTCCCGATCACAATATAAATTACATTTAAAACAGCTCAATTAACACAATTTAAACCGTAAAGATTTTATTGTGCAAAAAACGCCAAACCAATTATGGGCTACTAGATGTTTTAAATGAAGTTAGTGGGTCTTCTTCTTCATCAATAGCCATTTCCTGTCGGTACATCGACATCTCTGTACGACTTTTTTGATCAGTGGCTGCTGTAGCTGCTCTTTTCCCAAGGAGTCTGCCCAGTGAACCCTTTTTCTTCTTAGGCGCAGGAGATTTTCCTTTCTTCTGTTTTCCAGTCATGTATATTCTCCCACAATGCCTCTTCCAGGTTGTCGGCCGTATGGCTTTCTGGCATGAAGCTTGTTTGTAAGCATTTCGATTCCAGTGTCCACTCTTTGCTGACATAGTGTGCGGTCACTGACTGCATGTTCTGCGGTCTTCCAGAAGAATTTCTGACCTGGCAGCTCACACTGCTTGTCAAATGTTTGCAGCTTGGCCTTGAATGCGCTCTTCTCTACCGTATTAACAGAAACCATTTCTTTTGCTGGGTAGCGAGTTACAGCATCAGTACACTGCTTCCATTTTTCACTGTCACGCTTGTACTTTTGGCAAAAGTCCCAGAAATGGTTGGTTGGTCCCTAGCTGTTCGAGTTCAGTTGTGCGTGATGGCATTGGCAATGAACTGTGTTCCGCGAGATGGTGCAACGCATGTAAACACATCTACACATCTATACTCCATACCAGGTATTTTGTCTGGTTCTGGTTAAAACAAAGAACATGCGGGTCGGATCGTAGGTGGATAGGATAAAATTAAAATAGCCTAATAATAATTCAATTTAATGTTTTAATCCTCTGACATCTGCTGCGTATCGCTCCTTAGTGGTCAGCTGCTGCAGAGCGTGCCAAAACCGAAATTGCTGATGAGATGAAGATGAAAATATCTAGTGGAAAATGAGACTGTTGCGTTTTTAATGATATGATTATTTTCATTGTCCATCGCGCAAGATGTTTCATTGTTGACATCGCCCGACTCTAGTACGTAGGCACCTATTGTATTTGTTAGTCGTCATCGTCGTCTTCCTCTTCCTCCGGATTTGAGTCTATGGCAGCCCATAGAACAACTTGCAAGAGAGTTATGAAATTTGGCACACAGATAGAGGACAGTCCCAACATTAACCACAGCTAATTTGGAGTCTCTAACTCAAACCCTCTAGCGCCACCAACTGTCCAAATTTGCACTCGTGTTTACGCTAATAACTTGTCATAGAAGTCTAGAAGCAATGATTCTTCGGCTCAAGATGATTCGATTGCTTTGTCATTTTCAGTGCAATTGCATGACATCATTTTCCATCATTCATTTTTGAATTTTCCAAAAAAATAAAAAATGTTTCGCTAAAATTTAACCAGATCATCTTCAGACCATGCTGACAAAAAGTTATCAAATTCAAGTTGATTAGTCAAACTGTTCTTGAATAACGCATTAATACATTTTTTTAAAGGGCTCACCAAAGTGGATGTGAGGCTGTAACTTGGCAACGCTTTAGCATCTTGAGACCAAACTTGGTGTATGTTGTAATAACCACGACCTGAGGCTACCTGCAGTTTTGCCACAGCACCCCCTAGTGGTCAGGAGATATGAAAATTAGCTATTTTTGCTTATTTTTTTTTTCCCTTTGATTTAAAAATACAGTAAAACCGTAATATTGTGAAATATTATTACAAGTTAAAATTTCTGATTTGCTGCTTAAGAAACATTTCTGATTATTATCAATGTTGAAAACAGTTTTTTTCTGCTTAATAGTTTTGTGTGAACTGTAATACACTACTGTTTAAAGGTTTGGGGTATGTACAGTTTTGCGTTAAACAGGATGCATTCAATTGATCAAAAGTGACATTAAGAAACGCACGCGCCGGGCCCGAAGTTAACTTCCGGTCTGTGTTTGTTTATCAGTCTGGCTATGAGTAGACTGAAGTTGGGCTCAGGTGGTTGTGCTGTGGGATGTGTTTCCCACACATTTATTTATTTGTGGCGCTCACCACAATTTCAAAACTGACGGATTTTCCAAAAGGCTTGGTTGAATAAACATGAGCATGTATGTGGAGCTCGCCACAATATCAAAACTGACAGATTTCCCAAAAGGCTTCGTTGAATAAACATGAGCACGTACTGCACGTTTAAAAATCAAAACGAGGCGCGGGTGTTTTTATATCACTGTATTTCTGAAGGAAGACTATCTTTAGAAAATATTCAATGTCATTTTCATTTAATCTTGCATGTTATGTGCCTGATAAAGCAGCGTTTGTGAGCGCAGCGCTGCTTTGTGTACAGCCGTTTCTGGGGAAACCTCTGCTTTTGTTCCGTCCTCCATGCTGTGACAACTCACAAAAGACTATTTTTAACCAAGCAGTGCGGAGAGGCACTTCAAAAACGTGCCGTGGCTGGCTGATAAACACAAGCACTGACTAGAGCGGCCGCGATCAGCTCCGGTGGCCGTGGAGCCGTAACGCGCCGTAGACGCGTGCAGTGAGGCGCAGATCAGCTCTAACGTCACTGAATCTGCTGTGTAGATGAATCATGCAAAACATACACGACAAACAGCGAATGTTTCATTGTTTCTCGAAACGTCATAGCATTTCCACACCGGCAATGACATAACTGCGGCTCCAAGTCATTTATGTCCCCACACATCATGCACGTCGTAACGCGTTGACGTCATCAAATTGCGATCGGTTCCTGAGTTCGGCCAAGTTGGTGAGTACCGATCGAGTCATAAAATATGATTATCGGCCGATGCCGATCCATCGGAGCATCCCTACACACAAGTCTTGTGGCTGTAGTTTCGAATCATTGTGTATTTTAATGTTTATTTCTGTTCAGTGTCTTGCCACATAGAATTCTATTCATCCAGTCTTTATCTAAATCTCAGTTTAAACTTGAATACATAAATGTAAATAAACAAATCATAAAATTAGCAGTAGGTTGTTATAAAAAGCTATAAAAGTTTTTTTCCCCTCTTAATTTCCCAACAGACTTCAAAGAGACGTAGCAGACTGTTGTGCCGTTATCAGGATGGCAACAGGAACCCGCGTCTGCTGCTCAAGCCAATGAAGGAGGAGGATGAGTGGGACAGTCCTCATATCGTTCGCTTTCTGGAGGCCCTCTCTGATGAAGAGATAAAGAAGATCAAGGAGCTGGCCAAACCCAAGGTGAGTGTGCAGATGGACAGTATATCGGCATGAGTCTATACTGTCCATATATAGACCATGGACAGTATATAGACTCATAGACACATAGATGTCTATATGACATCTTAATGCGTCTATATGGACAGTATATAGGCATGAGTCTATATACTGTCCATATATAGACCATGGACAGTATATAAACGCATATAGACATCTATATGCATCTAAATGGACAGTATATAGGCATGAATCTATATACTGTCCATATATAGACCATGGACAGTATATAGATTCATATAGACGCATATAGATGTCTATATGATATCTATACGTGTCTATGTGGACAGTATATAAACTCATACAGACGCATATAGACATCTATATGATATCTATATGTGTCTATATGGACAGTATATATGCATGAATCTATATACTGTCCATATATGCATTTTCTGTATAGCTGCTTTGAAACAATGTGTATTGTGAAAAGCACTATACAAATAAATTGAATTGAATATATAGACCATGGACAGTATATAGACAGTATATAGACAGTATATAGACGCATTTGACTAGCTTAAAGATGTAGTTCACCCTAAAATTTGTTTTATTTTATTTTTTTATAACAAGGGTTAATTTCCCCTAAATAATCATACATACCATAAAAGCCTATTTGTGCTTTTATTCTGAATTATGAATAAGACCGAAAGCTTTTGTTTCACATCAAATGCATGTTTGTTAGTGTAGTTTTTTACTTTTATATCTGGACTCTATAATCTTTTGTTCTTGAGTTATTTGTTTTAATGTGTTGCTACTATCTGACAGTCACTGCCTCCAAAGATGCTAATTTGAAGAAACAGGCTTAGTATTAGGGATGCACCAAAATTTCGGCCGCCGAAAATGGCATTTGGGTGCACCGCACCGCCCACTAAATAATAAAGTAATTTAAAATAAAATTAATTATTATTATAAATATTGATATTTAATATTAATATATTTTCTGTCCAATTGTATTGTTACTTTCAATAAAAGTGTGGTTATTTTATTGGCTTGTGTTTTTTTTAATTTTTATTCAGTATCATTAAAATGAAAAAGTCTTACAAAATTACTTTATATTATTTAATAAAATGATAAATTATTATTACAAAGCATTTTCGGTTTCATTTTTCGGCCCAGAATTTTCATTTCGGTGCATCCCTACTTAGTATTGATACAAATTTGAAGATTCAAAAATGTATTGCACGCATTTGTTTTAGTGAGCACAGGGCACAAAGATAAACAAGATGCTGTAAAATAAAAAAATGTATAAAAACAATTGATAACCATATTAAATCAAAACAATTTACAAACCAAACAAATGTAATTTGCTGTCTGTAATTATAATCCTTAAATATAATTTTTCTTTTGTCCTTTGAGCTTAAAGGGAACGTCATATAAAGCTTTCGCTGATTTAATTTATGAACTTTAACCACTTACATTACTTTCATAGAAGACAAACTGGACGCAGTGAAAAAAACAACAATAATCACAGGCTTCATAAGAAACTAAAAATGAAGTCTAATAGTCTTGCTACATAGAAATATGGAGTTGATAGATGAACCTGAGAGACATATTCATGGTCACAATTAAACAAAGCAATTTTGTTTCATTTTATCAGCTTATGACAAACTAACAAATTTGTTTTGCTGATATATTAAAGTTGTGATGAAACAGAAGTAGTGACAGATCTTTTTTTCCGTATTGAGACATAAATCAGAGTGTGACATATTATCAAAAAAGAAAAGATGTTGGGCGGGACTTGGTTCTATGCATCGGTTGTGGATTGGCTGTTAAGATGTGGGCGTTGCATTCAGAAGTGGAGACAGATGAAGGCAATCTTGCAGTTTAAGCGATCTAAATGATTGGAGAAGTCCTGCATACGTTTATCTTTTTCACCAGAATATCCAGTTATGAAATTCTGATTATACATTGAGGTCTATATATATATATATATACAGTATATATATAGACACATCTACATGTGAGTACACATGTGAGTATGTGTTTTTTGACACATCACCTGTTTAAAATCTGAATGTGAATGCAAAGCTAATTATGAGTTGTTCTCTGTAGCTTTCAAGAGCCACAGTCCGAGACCCAAACACAGGTGTTCTGACGGTCGCCCATTACAGAGTTTCCAAAAGGTGAGCTCATATACATCAGTTCATTTAATGGTCTTCACGTCTGGCTTGATAAGAGCATAAGGTGACTCGGGCTGGACGGTATGACAGTAGAAAAGTGTTCATTTCGCCATACGAAGCATATCACAGTAGATATATTTGCGTGGATATTGATGGAAATCTTGTGCTCAATTGCTGATATTCAGAACAGCATCACTCTTGATCATGTGATTGCTTGAATAAGCTGGATTTGTCATTATATTCATTACAAAATAAGTATATTATGATATACCTTTACTGTAATGTAACATTTTTCATTCTGTGATTTGATCATAGTTTTCACCCCTAGGCAATACATTCATAAGTGTACTTATTTGATATTGAAACCCAGCTGTCGAACAGAATTTTGCCCATTTCTTGTTTTGTGATGATTTTCTTGTCTTCTGGCGTGTCTGCAGCGCGTGGTTAGAAGAGGAAGATGATCCAGTGATCGCTCGGGTCAATCAGAGAATAGAGGACGTCACTGGATTATCTGTAAACACCGCAGAACTTCTACAGGTCACTCATCCAAAATACACCAGAAAATCACACACATCATCTTATCACATCATATCATTTATCATATCATATCTCTCATATATCATATCTCTCATATATAATTTATTATTTATCAATTATCATTTATCATTTATCATATATCATATAATTTATCATATAATTGATCATATATCATATATCTCATATCTAATATATAATTTATCATATAATTTATATAATTTATCATATATCATATCATTTATCGTATATCATATATCATATAATTTCATTTATCATATATCATATCTCGTATCATTTATCGTATATCATATCATTTATCATATCATTTATCATCATATCATGTCACGTCACAGTATAATGTACTTCTGAAATTAATAATAATAATAATAAAACCATTATTAAAACCTATTTAAGGAATAATCACAAATCATTTTCTTCCATGTTTTAAATTTACCAATAAACCTCTGTTGTGCAGCACTTTGTCAAAAATAAAAGGAATTGTTACATTTTCACTTGATTTACATTTTAGAAGTTTAAATTATAATATAGACTTTAGAGACAGTATTGCATATTATATTATAATATAATATGGAATAGCATATAGAAAATAATACACGTTAAAATAACAGCAATCGTATTTGGTCACACTTTATTTTAAGGTCCAATTCTCGCTATTAACAAACAATTAACTACAACTTTTGCATCAATAAACTGCTGGTTTGCTGCTTATTAATAGTTAGTTAGGTAGTTGTTAGTTTCGGTATGGGGTGGATTAAGAGACCTAAAATATGATCATGCAGAATGAGACATTAATATGTGCTTTATAAGTACTAATAAACAGCTAATGTGCTAGTAATATGCATGCTAGGTAATAGTGAGAATTGTTCTTAAAATAAAGTTTCAGATTGTTGACCCACATGATTTAATTTGCACACAGTGCTTATGTGAACAGTGGATTGTCTCTGTTGTGATTCTGATACAGAATTTGTGGGAAAGGGGTTTTCTTATAACTTCTGTTGAATCTTAGGTGGCTAACTATGGCGTTGGAGGTCAATATGAACCACATTATGATTTCTCAAGGGTAAGACCTTTGTGCAAGAACAGTGGCATGTGCATGAAGAAATATTAGAGACAGTTTTCATTCAAAACAATGCAATATTTATATTTCTCTGATAGTTAAGAAAATGTATATATCAGTGGGATTTTTTTTTACTGTCAGCTGACACACAATATCCATTTTTCATCTTTATCCATATTTTGTACATAAAACTACTGATGAGACTCATTCCAGTTGTGGTTTGAGGAATTACATTAGATTAGCATTAACTCAAGAATAAAGAGTGAAATTAAATAAGGTGTATACGTTAAGTTATGTCGTTCTAATGTTCATTGTCAAGCACAGAAATACGGCTTATTATTAACAAGGTTTATTATTTATGATAAATAAGCATGGATGTGGCTAAGGTCAAAATAAACAAAAGCTGTGTCTCATTTAGAAGGCTGCGTCCTCCGGAGGTTGCATTCGAAGGCTGCATACGTCATCGAGGCTGTCTCATTTCAGAAAAGCAAGTAGGACACTTCGAATGCGACCTTCTTTCACAGGATTCCGGAGGATGCATGAGGTGTATCCTTCGCTGCTACAGATAACCCACAATTCTTTGCGGCGCCGTGAACAACCGTTGTTAATTTGAAAAATGCCGGCGCCGGCAGATGTAACGTACACACAAGCGCAGATGTGGTGTTTACAACTTACCTTAATTCGGTAAAATTCTTAAAAACGGATAAACTTTGTTTTTAATATCCTCCTCCTTTTTTTCTCTAATAGATGCCTGCTGTAGGTACGCTGCAGCTCCTCAAACATTGAACAAAATAAAACAAGTAAAAGCATTTTTTTTTTCAAATTACTTTCCAAATTTAGAAATTATTTTCCTTCATTTAAGTAGTGTGAGAGCAAGGATGTGTTGGCATAGCAACGTGATACTTCCTTTCCGCCTGTCCTACGAAGGCCGTCTCGTTTAATTCTAGGTTGAGGACACTTCGTACATGCATCCTACAGAGGATTCGACCTCCGGAGGGTGCAGCCTTCTAAATGAGACACAGCTAAAGTGATCGCTAGCTACTGAGGCGGTCAATCTAAACTTGCCTAAAGAAAAGGAAAAAATAAGATTATTATGATAATTATTGAAAGTTTATTCTTTTTAATAATATGTTTTATGTGGAATATAGTGTGTCACCTGATGGCAAAATCCCATTTAAAATGTATCTAAGGGTACGTTTACACGACAACTATGTTCTGAAAACAGAACAGTGTTTCCTTCGAATTTTTGTGAAAGTTTTGCATGCCGATGACAACGTCAAAATGATCCCCGTTCACAGGGATCCATGAAAACGACTAAAAACACTGTATTGATGCCAGGCCAGTAGCTGGCGATGTCACTTTGTAAAGAAACACTACGCACATACGCATTCCTGTAGACTCAACATGTAATATGCATGTGTATGACGTCACTGTTTACACTACATTTATGTAGTTCACACAGAGATGATAAAGGTATAATTTTCAAAAACTTGTACTTTGAAACTCGTTTTCAAAAATGTGCATTTTCAGGCCCCCAATACGTGGTTGTCATGTAAATGAACGGCCAAAAAGCATCAAAAGATTTGCGTTTTTAGTTGAAAATAATGTCGTGTAAACGCCCCCTACTGTAAAAAGTTGGAATGGCAGCATTACAGTGCACATTTTTATTGCTGGTGGTAATAAATTTCATAGGGATTTTTTTTATTGCTTATGAAAATGGGAATGCATTAGACATTTTGATTTTGACGAAAGTACCACATAAACCACTGGAGCTGAACTATTCTCCTAAGAAGATGATTTTACATTGAGCACATGTTTGTAAATTGATTTGACAGCCAACACTCAGTTTTTATGTTGTCATATTGAAGATAAAGTAATGTTGCCTCGGAGGCGGAGATATGCCACTGCTGCACTTCAGTCTGGTTTAAAAGTTACAAACGTCTGTTGCAGCGTCCTTTTGACGGCAACCTCAAGGTTGATGGAAATAGACTTGCCACCTTTCTGAACTACGTAAGTACATGTGTTGTGCTTCTGCCGCTCTGCCTGTCTTTACTCTAGCATTTTATCTTCGTAGAAAGATGAACCTGATGCTTTCAACTGACTGAAGAGGACTGATCCTGAGCTCGGTTCTGCAAACACGGACACAATCAGACACTCCAGATTCCTCAGGAACGCACATGAGTTCCAGTCAGGCAGGCTGGGGTTTGTGGGCCATTTCTCGTTTATTTGGAGTGTTTTCATTTACCCCTTCTTTAACATTTCTTGGCAGATTAAACCGGAGTATCGTGTCATGACCGAAATCCCATCGTGTTTATGTAATGCATAAATTATTGTCCTGTTCTTCAGTGTTTATTTTAGATTCTTATATGGTTTGCAATAAAAACGTCGGAATTTGAAGTCATGTTTCTTTGTCTGCCTTTTGAGGAGCTGTTGTATAGAAATATTTCGATTCAACAGAATTTATTACACACACTTTTGTAATGTTTGTTGTAATGCAAACTTTAATGTTAGGCTACAACAACCATAAACTGCGTCTGAATTGTTATTTAAATATATTTACAGACCTTATTGCAGCTCAGATGTGGCATGAATGCATTTACACTGCAATTACAATTTCATAAATAATGCTATTAGATTAATGGGTTTTAAATGGGATAATTCACCCAAAAATTAATTATTCACCTTCATTTCCTGAATGACTTAATTTCTTGTGTGGGAAAAAAAAAGAAGATCATTTGAAAAATGTCTCAATTTTTTCCCCCCATACAAGTCAGAAGTCAGTAGTGACTGAAACAGTTTAGTTACCAACATTCTTCAAAATATCTTCATGTTTCACAAAAGAAAAATGCCATTCAGGTTTGAATCGACATGAATAATTAATGACAGAATTTTCATTTTGGGGTGAATTATCCCTTTAATGGGTGTTTTATTAAAATGAAAATGTGAAATTGAAATGTCTTAATGAGTAGGCTTTGGGCTGCGTCTGAAATCGCATACTTCCCTACTAGGCTATACAGTAGGCGAAAAACAGTATGTGACAAAAGAATTATGTCCAAATTCACAGTACTCGTAAAAGAGTAGGCAAAAGTACCCTGATGACCTACTGCTTCCTGCGTGATTCTGAATGTACAGCACTTTGGTCCATTTTTATGGTTTTGAATGTGCTTTATAAATGAAGGTTGAGTTGAGTTAAAAATGCAAAACGACTCCCCACCAGCACAAACAATCTCTGTAATTACCTCTTTCTCAATCAGATTTGATACTGTAATGTTTTTGCTGTAAACACATGATGCAACCACAGTTCTCTTTTCAAAGGGAAGACCTCAGTGTCTTCTGGGTTTGTTACCTGGTGTAATTACCTGGTGTCATGGTGTAAGCTTGTCTAATCATAGGAGATGATTCAGTCAGACAGTAACACAATTAGCTATAATCTGTTTTCTGGAAAGGTCTGACTTACACACTCGCACCATTAGCACATAGAGTCTAGTTTTGACCCTGAACAGAATAAGACTGAACGTTCAGCTTCACAAGCGGCTCGAAATGGAGGCAAAGTGGATGATTTTATTGTTCTCAACATGCTGGAGTTTCTGTGGTGCTGTAAAGGAGTTCTACTCTTCAACAGGTTAGTGTGTTGTATTGCAATAAGATGAGAAAACAAGAACACTTCGCTCTTTACCCATAATTGTTTTTGTAGATGTGCTAACATACCTGTTTTAAAATGAAATGCTGTGTGCAGATCATATGATGCAGCTTACAGACATCAACACACAGTTTGCCAAGAGTCTTCATGAATATATAGAAGCACTGGAGAGCCAAGCAGAACTTCTGAGAGGGTAAGTGTTGCTTGTGGAGCTTATAGAGCATCAAGATGCAGAGGAGGGCAAATGAACTGTAAAAACAGAAAATTACAGAATATTTCAAGTGCCACAAGAAACCTTTTTAGGATTACAGAAAAAAGTTTAAATAATAAAAGAAAGTGTAAAAGTTTAAACTTGGTAGTATGACGAGAGGAGAGAATGAGATGAGTAAATGTTTAATATTTAGTAAATGCATAGAGCATATTATAAACAGTGAAAGCATGTTAGTTTAGGTTATATATTAGGTTATATTTCGTTTAGGTCTAATTAACCCCTGATGCTCTTCATTTAGGAGTTAAATTCATACTCCTCATGATACTATAATTTATTTCAATAGTATTTTTTATCCAATATTTTGTATTTGGAAGGGATTTCATGGTACTAAAGTATATTCACTACTTGATTTAATATTTATGTCTTTATGTAACAATACAAATATTAGAAAAAATATTTATTTTTCCGATTTATGCAGTAACAAATCAAATATAGAAAAAAACCTATTTCAAATCCATTTAATGGAGGTAGATTAGTGCAATCAGGTGGAAAGAAATAAAATCAATTGTAATGGTGTAGCCGCTAGACGCCTGCATAACTGATATAAATATACTTTCGGGGCTGTGCTTTCACTATTTGTTGAGAACAGTGTTTTCAGGCTTGATATAGTTAGGTTTTGAGTTTGGATATATATTTAAACATTATCATTATCTATGTTCTGCCAAAGTTTAGTTTAAAAATGTGACACAAATGAGCAGGAATGCTTTTAAAGAGCTTAATCCATCTGAGTCTGAGCTGGTCCGTTGGCCCAGTTTTGCCATATATATTGCCAATATAGTGCCATGCATTGTCAGTCACACCAGTTCCTTTGTGTGTGTGTGTGTGTGTGTGTGTGTCTGAAACTATTTTTGATGCTTCAGAGTTTTATCCCGTCATTGATGTGTGCTTTATTCTGCATTGTGGCTGATTTGTCGATTGTACCCCAAAAAATCTCTGTATTTTCATATTTATTTCCCTCTGACATCATTTTGACCATGAATAATCTATTTTTTTTGACCGTTTTGCCTTTTCCAGTTGTCAAATTCCAGTTCCTTTGTGTGTGTGTGTGTGTGTGTGTGTGTCTGAAACTATTATTGATGCTTCAGAGTTTTATCCCGTCATTGATGTGTGCTTTATTCTGCATTGTGGCTGATTTGTCGATTGTACCCCAAAAAATCTCTGTATTTTCATATTTTTTTCCCTCTGACATCATTTTGACCATGAATAATCTATTTTTTTTTTACCGTTTTGCCTTTTCCAGTTGTCAAATTTGTGTGTATGCTCATATAGCCAGTGCCAAAAATGTGACCTAGTTTTGTACAATTTCAATGAAGTTATAATTAAAAAAAAAACAATTAATGTAAAGCTTGACCGAAGAGCAGCAAAGGGTTAAAAATAAACTATTGACAAATTAATCAAATTAATATTTCATTTTAAATCCCCAGAAATCATACATTAAGCATTAATGTTGAATCTATCAAATAATGAGACTATAAGTCGAGTGTTCATGATCAGTATCACACACACACACTCTCTCTCTCTCACACACACACACACACACGCACACACACAGACAGACAGACAGACAGACAGACAGACAGACAGACAGAGCACAAATTGTGTGTTTTGTATTTGTTTTGACCACAGAATTCTGCAACACATCTTTCAGTATTTTTAATATTGATCTTAATTTATCAGGGCTCTGAACGCACTTGAGGATGACTTTGATGACACTCCCAGAGATGCAGAGAAATTCATCAGCAACCCTCTCGCAGCGTTTCAGCTCGTGAGAAAGCTAAGTCTAGCCTGGGCCGCTACGCAGGAACTTATCGAAAGAAGACGTGCAAAAGGTTTGAGGAGAAACACACAACTCTAATATACCACTCAGAGACTGGGCTTTCTCGTAACAGTTGATTGTGTTATAAATTATGATTGTGTGTTGCTGTTGAGGGGCTTCATCAGTTTTTAATGGTAGATTATCTGTGAAGATCAACTGATGCAACCACTTCGAGGAGGAAAAGCTATAAATAAAACATGATTAAAAAAAATTGAAGTCATTGTCAGCAACATTTCTCATGTTTCACAGACACTTTGGAAAGCTTGAAATCTGCAGCTCAGACTCTCCCCAGTGCAGAAGATGTAGAAGGTGTGGTGATGGCTTTGGTTAGACTGCAAGAAATGTACAGATTAGATCCGAGGAACATCTCCTTATTTTCTGGTGGGTTTCATGGTGGCTTTATTTGTTCTTTATCACCAGTATAGCTCATGTAAACAGATGATAAAACATCCAGTAGACGTACACAGGACTGAGTCATATCTAGAGGCCAAAATGTTGATGTAGGCACTTGTATCTTGGTGAAAAATCTGGTTCAGTTTATTTGCAGCTCTCAAGATTTCCGTGATATTACCTTGATGTGTGGCTTTTCAGAAATGAACCACAACGTGACGCTGGATCCAGATGAAACTTTCCATATCGCCATGATCTCCTCTCTCAATCAGCGCTTTCAGTGTGCCGTCCTCTGGATGGAGGAAACCCTCAGGAAACTCAATGAGGCGGAAGAAGCTGTCGTTACTAAAGACGAGGTTGTTTATCAGCTTGCTTCATTGTCTCATCAGCTGGCAGTGATTCAGCTGTCAAGTGGACAAGGTGAGGAGTTTACAAGAATGCGAATTAATTCGGAGATTTTTTCCCCTATATTCACATCTGCCATAAAAAAAAAAAATATATATATATATATATATATATAACAAAAATATATAAATTCATTATATATTTATAAATTCATTATAAATATAAATTATATATATATATTTAAAAAAAAATTTACGTAAATAAAATAATTTGGGCTTATTGCGAGTATAGTGTGTTGGGCATCCACCAAAAAATCTCTGATGAAATCTCTTTATTATTAATGTGCAATGGACTTTTGAAACATTTTTACATTTGAAAAAAGGCTATTTAATGCTGTTTTTAAAATACAGTATGTTTAGTATGTTATTATGTATCGATAACTAATTGTTTTGAAGTGCAAGTATCTCCTGATGATGCCGTTCTATATTTAAACATACAGTGGGGCAAAAAGGACCCCATTTCAAAATGTATTTTAAAATGAAAATAAATCCACCTGCATTTGCTTTAATGACAGCATGAACTCCACAAGCTTGTGTCAAACCTGCATGATTTGAGAATGTTTCACAGAACATCATTATTTGGTTCAATGAAAGCAACAAACCTTTTGAGTCCACATGATGCATAGAAATGTCTATTTTCTTTATTTGAAGGAATTTCACAGTTTAAATGAAGATTTTAAATGCACGAGTCTCACACATTAGGTTGCCACTGTATGTTGGCTTCTGAAGCATTATGTGCAATAATGCAAATCTTAACAAAGCTATATGTTAGCAGTGTGCTTTAACAGTAACAAAGGCTAAATGAAGATCAAATGCACTGATTCACACTCGTGCATCTAATTTGCAATTGTTCTTAAGAGGCCACTGAGAGAAATCTGCTTCAGCCTGAACTTTACGCAAGCATAATAGAGAGCATTAAGACCTGGCACTGGACCGCCGAATACATCCCTCAGCTTTACTCTCCTCAGCACTCCTTGGACAAAACATATGAGGCTCTGTGCACTGGAAAGAGGCTTACGATGGTGAGTAGCAGCCTGAGAAGATCTACAGAGATTCATATTCTTCATTTAGTATTGCTATCATGTGAATGTACTGTAAGATTGTGGATTAAAAGGCTAATTTTATACAGAATACTCATTTTAATACTCTAATATTTTATTACACATTGTGAAAGTAAATAAATTATATATTAGACATGGCTACCAGCAGTGCACACACACACACACACACACACACATATATATATATATATATATATATATGTGTGTGTGTGTATGTACTGTATATGTAAAAACCTGTAAAAATACCTGTTTTTTAAAGTTTTTTTTAAACAGGTGTTTTACCTGTCTTTCGAAGTTTGCACTTCATTGTGTTGTTTTAGGGTTAGTTTAAATGACTGTAAAATTAATGGATAATATCCTAGCAAAAAATTACCAGTACATTTTCCCTTTTTTTTTTTTTTACAGAGTTCACATTAACACTGTACATTGGACTGTATTTGTATGGACTTACATGTAATATGAAATTTACGTAAAGTCAGCTAACTAGCCTTGCTTGATTGAGAAAGTGCTTTCCCGTTTTGTATGTAAGATGAATCAAATCAAATCAAAACGTATTCATAAAACCGTAGAGTGTACCAAAAGTGCTGTAAAATAAGAACAATACAATACTACACACTATGAATACATCTGCTCAAACCTAAAATAGTGAAGGCCTCATCAAACAAATATGTCTTGAGACAGGTTTGAACATGTTTACAGAGGTGAAGGATCTAATACGATCTAATAAATGTGTTATGGTTTGCAGACGCCACAAAGAGAGAGAAGGCTGGTGTGCAGGTACAGGACAGGAAGAGGAAACCCGCTGATGATATTCAAAGAGGAAGTGGAGTGGGACCAGCCTATGATCCTACGATACCATGACTTTCTTTCTGAAGGAGAGATGGACACCCTCAAAACACTGGCCAGGCCAAAGGTGCATGCAACATGTCACTTATGTTTGATTATGTAGCACGTATACATGCTCATCAATATTTGTGACCCTGGAGCACAAAACCTGGAACCTGGAAAAGCTGGAATCTGAGGGTGCAAAAAAATCTAAATATTGAGAAAATCATCTTTAAAGTTGTCCAAATGAAGTTCTTAGCAATGCATATTACTAATCAAACATTACGTTTTGATATATTTACGGTAGGAGATTTACTAAATATCTTCATGGAACATGATCTTTACTTAATATCCTAATGATTTTTGGCATAAAAGAGAAATGTATAATTGTGACCCATACAATGTATTGTTGGCTATTGCTACAAATATCCCCCAGCGACTTAACACTGCTTTTGTGCTCCAGGGACACATTTGAGGAATTTTTTTGGCTATTGCTACAAATATCCCCCAGCGACTTAACACTGCTTTTGTGCTCCAGGGTCACATATGAGGAATTTTCCCCCCCTGAAGCATTGAGTATGTGTGTATATACTCTGTGGGAAGGGAATTAAATAAATTTTTAATTTATATCTGATATTATTGATAATTAGTACCATTTTTTAAAATGTCAAATAATGTATTATTAGTAATTAATAACATCCATCTAATGCAACACATCTCTGTTTATATTTAGCTTTCCAGAGCTAAAGTCATAGATCCAGTCTCTGGAAGAAAAGTTTCTGCTGCCTCTCGTGTGTCAAAAAGGTTCGCACCTCCACCACAACACGAGAAGCTTGCCTTCGTTTACTCACACTCCTGTCTTTCCAGATCATTTGTATGATTTTCTATCTTTTGTGGAAGATATTTAGATTTTTCAATTTTTTTGGGTCCATCCCGTACGACAATATATATATTTAAAAATATACAAAAAATATATTTGCCAAAAGTATGTTTCAAAATATATTCATGTAAATATTTTTCATACCAATATATTTTTGGCCATTAAAAAAAATATATATATATATAATTTTAGAAGCATTATTTTTTTTTGCTCTCTATATATTTCATGTCACATTTGAAGAAAAACTTTATTTGTTATAACATATGTGAATATATAACACATTTGGATAAAAGTCAAATACTTTACAATGTTCCAAAAATACAGTATTACACTATATTAAAAAAAGAAACATTATGAAATCATTATAAATCTAGTTTTGATCTCTAGTAAGACTATTCTATCACATATTTGCATTTAGCCTAAATATAGCTACTGTACGACTGGAGAGGTATTTTCTTGCCCCTGAAATACATTTTGAAAAATATATATTTAATTGAGCTTTACTGTATAAACCATATATTTACTTAAAATGCCTTTTTTCCTCTGTATGGGATGCAGTGGGAGTCAAAGGGCTTCAGTGTTGTTTGGTTTCAGTGTTCTTCAAAGCATCTTATTTTGTGTTGCTCAGAATTGCAAACAGGTTTGCAGGATTTTTGGGTAAAAATGCATGTGATTCTCAGATGGCCTTACAAAAAAAAGCAAAACCGGTGATAGTCGGCGGACATATTTATCTTCTTTAAACTTCCTTGTGTTTGGACTCTAAAAAAAGCACATCCTCAAAAGGAGGATTTTTATTTTAAGTATTAAAACAACATGATATCATTTTTTTTCAGGTTCTTAAATCATTTGTATAATGAACTTATTGCACATTTTGCCCATTTGATGTACTTTAAAGCATGTCAAATAATTGTTCATTTTCATATTATGCAGATTAGTCGTGAACAGTGAGTTATGTTATTAGTGTCGGGGGAAGAGATGAGGACACAGTTGCAGAAAGCATGAATCTGTCAAAGTCCAGGGCATGTGACTGTTCTCTTTATCTCTCTCAGCGCATGGCTCTCTGAACATGAAGATCCCGTGATCAGTCAGATCAACCAAAGGATCGCTGGTGTCTCTGGTCTAGAACTGCAGACAGCAGAGGAGCTCCAGGTATTCATTTCACCAGATCACTATTTGGTTGAATTTCAAGCATAAACTAGCCTAACAGATATTCATCTGCTAATTTTTAGTTGGTGACTTTCAGACTTGCAAGCCCATGAATAGAATAGAACTGTGTTAGATGGGATCTCTACGCCAGGAGTGTTTGATCCAGTCTCTTTATCAGATACCGTCAGTTTTTTCTGGCATCCAAAACCAGAAAAAAATATTTTAACTAAAATTCTAAACTAAAACTAAAATCTATCAGCCTGAGAGGTTGAGGAAGAGCAGAAAACACACACACACACACACACTCACACACACACACACACACACACACATAGTATGTTGTGAGATTCAGCCTCTAAGAATTGTATTTCAGCCGGTCTTATAGAGTGTATGACCTGTTTAAAAAAATAATTGTGTTGAATGTTAAATTGCATATGCACATGCGCATAATTATAGTGCATTTAAATAGATTATTACCAATCCTGGTCAGTGAAGATAATCTACACTGAAAAAAATGGTAACATGTAAAAAATTGTAAACCGTAACCTAAAATGATAATATCTAACTGAATGTATTTAAGGCAAAAATATTTAATCATTGAATGAGCCCATATACATTCCTTTATTCCACCAAAACTACTTAATAGGGGTTAAATCAGGCAGATACGTATATCTGTAAATAACAGTTGCAGGTTACCAATTTTTGCAGTGTACTGAAATCTTAAGAGAGTTTTCAGGTCTAGAAACTAGACATTCAGACTGTAAAAACTGTTTCCTTTGAATTTCTCATTCTAGTTGCCAACAAGTGGATTCGTGCTTACGGGCAAGAGTTCAGAAGAAAGTGCTCTACTGTCAAATCTGATTAGAAGAGCCAAAGCAGACTGCGCAGAAACAGCCATGATCCAAGTAATGACGTACAGTTAAGAGACAATGTGATGCATGGGCAGAAATGGAATCACACACTAACTGCAGTGTTTTATTATTTTATTTTATTTTTTTGTGATATATTTTTCCTACATTTATCTGCTTTATAGTGGGGTTGTAACATTACAGCAGATTCCCCCAACTATACCCCTATTAATTAATCAAGTATTTGAATTAAAATATATACATTTAGTAACCATGTAGGAAAATATTAAACAGATACGTAAAATAAATGGTAATAACTCTAAAAGCATAACTGTGTGTGTTTGTACAGAAGCCTTGACCTCTGATTTATTTCCTTTGCTATCACCAGACTTTAGCTACTGTATATAGTGCCTCTGTTCACATGCAGTGTAGAACATATGCAACAAGCTCGGAAATTCAAAGCAAAGACATTAGAGAAAACTCCAATGTATTTATTTATACGGTTACTTATTTATTTATTTTTAAAAAGCTTATTCAGGTAAATCTGTCAAGGTCTTTTGTTGCTAAATTTAAAAAAATTGTTCCCATTTCATTTAAGTACCCCATAAACACGGTTGCCAACAAAATCCGCATGCAGTCATTAATATAATCCCTTAAAACTAGGCTAATTTAATCAAAATTACATATTTAAATGTTTTTTCCCCTCATGAAAATAATTTATCTTCAAATGGCTTGAATGTAACTCGAACTGAGCTGGCAATGTGAATATTCACAAACTATATACAGCAGCTAATGTAATTTTATTCAGCCGTGGTAATTAGTGCCGTGGATGTGTCAGATGTGTTAGCAGATTGGGGATTGCAGTAAATTAATGCAAAGCTTCTAGATGAATTTAGACGGAAAAAAAAGAAAGGTGTTTCCCACTGGAAATATTCAGTGTGATAGGATGTATGTCCTATACTTAGCACACATAAACACTTGCAGCGGAAACATTCAGAGGGGTTTATGGATGCAGAAGTCTGATAGACAGCTAAATCAGACCAGATGACCGCGGAAGCAGCTAATTTGGTAAGTCTGCAGACAGATGGAGAGGAAAAATCAGATTATTGCCCCACACAAATATATATTTTTAACTTAGCACCCAGTGGCTACAGTGTGCGCTTTTGTGATTCAGTCGTTTCTGGGTTAATATGGTATTAGTGATAGTGGTTTTATAGTATGGCATCAAGATGCTGCAGTCCTCATGTAGACACTCATTCAGTCCTGAACCGCTTTTCTGAATATTAGATTAGATTATTGTCTTTCATGCATGCTTACAATGATTAATGATCACAACAACCTCAATGCATCCTTAAAATCAGCATATTGTGTTAAAAGCAGTAGTGCATTTAAATCTGATGCCCAGAGTGGATTGTTCATGTAATGAAACAGGTATATTCATTTTGATGAGGATATGAACAAAGATATTCTTAGATTTGCAGTGTTGGGATGAACTGAGTGTCTCTGGAGGGAAAGCGCATCAGTAATCGAATGGATTTAGCTGTCGAACATTCATAGTTTAATCAAAGTATCTGCCCGACGCCTAAAGCTGTTGAATCACAGATTCTGGTGGGCAGAAAGATTAACCAGTACATTACATAACCAAGATTATCATCCACTGCCAACAAGGTTGTAGTAAGCAAATATTCAGTATGACATGACAGTATGTTACAGTAAGTAATTATGCACAGCTTATAATAATAATAATAATAAAAATAATGCACTTTTATCCAGTATATAAAAAAAAAATATATATGTCTGTTGACTATATGTCTATTGACTTTTTATATCTTTTTATTAAAATCTTTATCAATTGTTTGTTTGTTTATTTATTTATATATAAAGCACAATTAAAACAACGTAAAGTTGACCAATGTGCTGTACGATCTCTAAATAAAAATTACACAATATTTACTTTCCGACAAACAATGACCAACAACAACAAATGTTATTAAAAAAAGCCTCTTGCTAATTAATCTGCAGAACCAAATGTTAATTCAAGTAAATGCACTTTCAGTTTTCGTTTAAAATAACCGAATGACGGAGCCAGTCTGAGATGTAGAGCTAGCTTATTCCCAGTCACCACTCAATTTCAGTCTAGTCCTAGGAATGTCTAGGATCATTTGATTTGCTGATCTGAGAGACCTGGGTGGCTTGTATATATGAAGGAGATCCACTAAATAAGGTGGGGCCAAATTATGCAATGCTTTATATACAACAATCAATAGTTTAACATCAATTCTGTACTGCACTGGCAACCACTGAAGTGATTCTAAAATCTGTGTTGCATGCTGTTTTTTTTACGAGTACCTGTTAAAAGCCTAGCAGCCGCATTTTAAACCACACTCTAAAAAATGCTGGGTTATATATAACCCAGTGCTGGGTAAAATAGGGACAAACCCAGCAATTGGGCTGTTTTGACCCAGCGGTTGGGTTAAATGTTTAACCCAACCTTCTTTTCTATAAAATCCTCGGCTAGCATGGACATTTTTAAGAAGGACTTGAAGACCTACGTATTTTATCAAGCTTTCAGCGTTTAATTAGGTCGGAGAATTGGCTGGATGTTTTTCTTGATGTTATGTGTTGTTGTTATTTTATGTTTGCATGTATTTTAGTATTATTTTTACTCAAGGACAGCACTTTGGTCCATTTTAATGATTTTGAAAGTGCTTAATAAATAAAAATTGAGTTGAGTTGAGTTGAGTTCTGGGTAGTAACCCAACCGCTGGGTCAAAACAACCCAGCATTGGGTAGTATTTAACCCAGCATTTTTTCGATTTAACAAAACTTGGCTAATACCCACATACAGTGAGTTACAGCAATCCAGTTTTACAGGATAAAAGCATGAATGATCCATTCAAAATCACTGGAGGACAGAAAGGGTTTAACTTTTGCTATTGATCTTAAATAAAAGAAACAAGATTTGACCACGGTGTTGATCTGTTTATCAAATTTCAAAGAACGATCAAATTGGACACCAAGGTTCTTCACCACAGATTTACAGAAGGGAGCTAAATTGCCCAAGTCAAAAGAGTTTTGGGTGTCAAGAGCCCCGAACCAGATTATTTCAGTTTTGCTTTCATTCAAATTCAGATAATTTTGTGACATCCAAGATTTAACTTCATGTAAACAACTCAATAGTGACTCAAAAGAGCTTTTATCCTGTTTCCGCAAAGGTAGATACACCTGAGTGTCATCTGCGTAACAATGAAAAGATATTCCATGCTTATGAAATATAGAACCTAAGAGTAACATATATATATAATGAAAACAAGACTGGGCCGAGAATGGATCCTTGTGGAACTCCACTAGACAATTTTTTAAGTTTTAGAGTAATGTTGACCAAAATGGACGGATTTGAACCACTCAAGTGCCATACACCGGATTCCCACTATCTTTTCTAGACTAGAGACAAGAATATCAAATGCTGCACTGAGATCTAGTAAAACTAAAACCACCGAGCTGCCTGAATCAATCAAAATAAAAATATAATTTAAAACTTTCAACAAGGCCGTTTCTGTAATATGACTTGCTTTAAACCCTGACTGAAATGTCTCAAAGATTTCATTTTGAACTAGAAAGGTCTGCAATTGGTTTAATGCGACTTTTATCATTTTAGATAAAAATGGCAATTTAGAAATAGGTCTGTTATTAGATAAAACATTTGGATCCAAATTAGTTTTTTTCAAGAGGGGCTGTACAACAGCATGCTTAAAATCCATTGGAACTACTGCTGTTTTGAAGCTTCTATTAGTTAAAGTCAGTATACTGGGACCAATAATATAAAAAATGTTTTAACTAATCTTGATAGAATAATATCACAACCACAGTTTGTAGGTTTTAACTGCCCAACTACCTCAGCTTGAGAATTAAGATCAACACAGCAGAGGTGAAACAAGCAATAGGGGGATCATAAGAAACAGGTACCAAATGTGACCTAATATCATACATTTTCTGCACAAAGAAATTAAGCAAATCTTCACATGTAATGGTGTACAGATCAGGACATGTAGTAATAGGATTTAGCACTGAGTTGATAGTATTGAATAAAATATTAGACTTACTGTGGAACCTTAAAAGTAAATCAGCAAAATATTTTCTCTTAGCTGACTTAACTGCATTCTGGTAAGTAGATGAAGACTCGCGTAGCATATAATAAGACACCTGTAATTTGTCCACCTACACTCCGATTTCCTACAAGCACGCCTCAAGCCCTGAGTAATCTCATTTAACCAAGGTTCTGGTTTGGCCTTAACACTCTTAAAGGGACAATGGACTTTAGGATAGAGGAACATACAGAATTAAAGTGAATCATTCACATCTAAATGCAAAGACGGGCTCTCCAAAGTAAAATTCATATCAGATTCAAGGAATGCATTTTTAAACTGCTCACTGCATTTAAATTCTGAACCTGACGAATTGGACATAAGGTATTACGAATAACACCAGGGATAGTTAAAGTACAGCAGCATTGCCAAGGTTACATGCAGCAATGTCACGTCAAAGCCCTAATTTTTCCATTATAGTATTTTAATGTTAGACTACAGCAGGTTGCATTTAGGTTTTATCCTCTATACATAGGTTTATTATTTTGTTATTATTGTGCTTTAAACATAGATGTTAGTCCAGTTGTGTTTAGGTGTCCCTTCAGTTGAGAAGTGCTGACATACTGTACATTGTAAATCGGATGTGCTGAACATGCTAAAACAGGACAGTTTCTGTCTGAGTAACCCTTCATTTAAAATATTCACACTACTCCCTTGGTTTGAGCTCAGTAGTGGAATATAAACATTTTGGATGGCCAGTTAAAAAAAAAATATATATATATATATATACAGTATATATAAAAATTGTTAATATAATTAATTTAATTATGTATTTTGCAATACTCTTTTTAATTAATTAAACACTTGGATACAATTTAAACAATGAGAAAAATTCTGAAAAACATCTCTCTACCAATCTGTGTCCTTCTCACGGTGCATGTTGATCGTTTCAGTACTTTGGTCTTATGGAAAATGTCTAGAGATCCATTTTAGATCCGTTATAATCAATGGTGCTGTCTGCACTGGAATTGTCTACTTAAGCCATTTTGGCAGCATTTCTATTTTGGACGCACTGCACAGCAACTCCAGCCAATTTATTTTTGCTTGTCTGTCTGGAAATAGAAGAATTTTACAAATAACGTACAGTATGTGTGAATTGCCTGCTATGTAGTATATTTTAGTCCTTTATATTTAAGTACCTTCTGTCGACGCCAGATTGTGATATTTCTGGTCTGTTAAAAAGACTGCTACCTGCCAGATCTACAGAGAAAATTATGAAAGTCCTGTTTTGGGTGGGTCGGAAAAAGCTTTGCTAATTGCATTTAATATATAAATTTAAAATACATTTGAATTTAATTGTAAATAGCATGCAATTAAGTATCCAAAACAATACGTTTAACTACAGTACCGCAAGTGCCATTTTTGCCTCAGTGACATACCTATTAAGAGAAAGCTAAGAAAGCTGACATTTATATCAGAAGAGCATTTTTGCAAATATTCAGTACACATCTTGGCATCATGCATGCGCACGTGTGCAGCGTGTTCGAATCAAACTGAGAAATCGGTCAGAGTCTGCCGTTTACATGCTTTTGATTGAAATATGTCAGATTTACAGCACTCTTTTTAATCTGATCGAACTCTCATGCAGACTGAGCTGAATCAGATCGACTGAGAAGGTTTTTCAGTCAGATTGAGCCATAAATCTGATTTCAACATATAAAGTCAGACCAGAATGTCATAGTACACCCCAAAAAATGAAAATTTGCTGAAAATATTCTCACCATCAGGCCATTCAAGATAAGTTTGCTTTTGTTTTTTAATTGGAACAGGTTTGGAGAAATTGATCATTCCATCACTTGCTCACCAATGGACCCTCTTCAGTGAATGGGTGCCGTCAGAATAAGATTTGTTTCAGCTTTTGTCTTCTCCAGATGTTAACTGATGGACTGGAGTGCTGTGGATTATTGTGATGTTTTTATCAGCTGTTTGGACTCTCATTCTGACGGCACCCATTCACTGCAGAGCAAATGATGCAATGCTACAGTTCTCCAAATCTGATGAAGAAACAAACTCATCTCGGATGGACTGAGGGTTATACATTTCAGCAAGTGATTAATTTGAGAGGGCTTTGTCAAATGCTACATGTTGTCTTGTACCAGCAGCACATTATTTTGCCCTGATAACTGTGTCTTATTTTAGTAGTTTCAGGCGACTGCTGTGTTGTATTGACAGCTGCTGCGTCATTCACTCTTAATCACCATTATGCCTCATCATCATCATAATCTTTTACAATCTCTTAATCATCATAATGCCTCTATATACTCTTGTCTTCTTGAGTTTACATGTCTGACTGTAGAAGTCTCTTGCATGGCTGTGAAGCGTGGTTAAACACTAGCAACATCGCCTGTCGTTTAGTACAGTCAGCAGCCTAGATTTAGTATCTAAGTGCTTCTGTGACGCAGCATGTGTGCTCGGGTGAGCGGTTTGCGTGTTATCAAGGCAACTCTTGGCTGTGCTGTCAGTAGCTTGTGTAGGCTTGTTCATCTGTCATACTTTATCATTAAATGCTGGGTCAAGAAAAAGTGTTTTATTATTAATAGTACTAGATAGTGTTTTATTCAGGTATTTTTTGCTATGAAGCAGTCCTGTGTAAGGAAGGGAGTTAAGAAAATAAACTTAAATAAAATATAATGTTGACACTTTTACTTGTTCTTTTACTTCTACTAACAATGCAGTGCACTGAAATGTGTCACAACAGAATTCTGTTCACTTCTGTGTTTTGTTCTGCACCGTATCAAATTATGTATTAATAAAACAAAGGAGTTTGGCATTTTATTCCAACAAATATTTCAAATGTTATTTCCATTACATCAAAATGACTTGTGTGTATAAAGAAATGTTGGTCACACTTTAGTTTATACAGTCAATCATATTCAGGCAATACATACTGAACTGTTTTGTGTTTATTTTACTCTTTCGTTAGATTAGGATCAATTGAAATGACTGGCAAATGTGTCCCAATCAACCTGAATTCACCTGTATGTAATAATTAATATTATTATTTATCATAATTAATTATTATTCATATTTTTATTATGGATTATTATGGGCAAAAGGCATTTGAAAAAAGTTGCAAAATAAATGATAAGACTTCCAAGATTCCAAGACTAATTGAGATTTATACATCATCTGAAAGCCGAATAAATGAGCTTTCCATTGATGTATGGTTTGTTAGGATCGGGCAATATTTGAAAATCTGGAATCTGAGGGTGCAAAAAAATCTAAATATTGAGAAAATCATCTTTAAAGTTGTCCAAATGAAGTTCTTAGCAATGCATATTACTAATCAAAAATTAAGTTTTGATATATTTACGGTAAGAAATTTACAAAATATCTTCATGGGACATGATCTTTAATTAATATCCTAATGATTTTTGACATAAAAGAGAAATGTATAATTGTGACCCATACAATGTATTGTTGGCTATTGCTACAAATATCCCCCAGCGACTTAACACTGCTTCTGTGCTGCAGGGCCACATATGTGCATATATTTTGTCCTTACCCTCACTGTAAATGTTTCTGTTTACTCCCACAGGTTTTCTCACTACAAGGATAATGAGGAAAAGACGGAGCTGGAAACGTCAGTGTAACTTGAAGTGATGGATACTAAGAGTGTTTGAGGAACCCTTTCATCTGACCCAATGGCAAAGAAAGGCCGCGCCAAGGGCGAGAAGCCTGAAGCACTCATCTCTGCCTTACAGGCAGCCAATGAAGATCTCAGGTCGAAATTAACCGATATTCAAATTGAACTGCATCAAGAGAAATGCAAGGTAGGCAAACGGCATGTACAGGTTTACCTCGTGTTTCTGAAAGGCCAGAAGAAAACAATCTCTCCTGAATTAAACTGTAGCACATTTACAGCGAACTTTCATAGCCTTTGCTGAACATTTCTGACATTTTTAACCAGTGCACGGCTTAGATCAATTTCAGCTACAGAAAATCAAAAGCTCCGTCTCAGTGTTCATTTCAAGAACATTTTAAGACAGAGATGCCCGAACCAAGGCCTGCAGGCGAAAGTTGATGACTTCTGAAGAAAAAAAAAATATATACAGTATATGCACACACGCACACACACACACACACACACACACACACACACGCACGCACGCACGCACACACACACACACACACTGCTGTTCAAAGGTTTGGGATCAGTAGGATTTTTAATGTTTAATAAAGAAGTCTTTTAGGCTCATTTGTTCAAAAATAAAAAAATATAGTATATGCACACACGCACACACACACACACACACACACACACACACACGCACGCACGCACGCACACACACACACACACACTGCTGTTCAAAGGTTTGGGATCAGTAGGATTTTTAATGTTTAATAAAGAAGTCTTTTAGGCTCATTTGTTCAAAAATAAAAAAATATAGAAAAAACTGTAATATTTTTCTATTTTATGTACTTTAAAATATAATTTATTTCTGTGATGTGCAGCTGTATTTTCAGCATCATTCCTCCAGTCTTCAGTGTCACATGATCTTCAGAAATCAGTATAATATGCTGATTTATTATCAATGTTGGAAACAGTTGTGCTGCTTCGTATTTTTCAGGATTCTTTGATGAATAAAAAGAACAGCATTTATTTAAAATAGAAATATTTTCTAACAATATACACTATCTTTTAAAGGTTTGGGGTCAGTAAATTTAAATTTTTTTTTTAATGAAATTAATACTTTTATTCAGCAAGGATGTGTTAAATTGATCAAATATGATAGTAGAGACTTATATTGTTAGAAAACATTTTTTATTTTGAATAAATGAGAATAAACCGATTCCAAAAAAATATGAAGCAGCACAACAGTTTCCAACATTGATAATAAATCAGCATATTAGAATGATTTCTGAAGATCATGTGACACTGAAGACTGCAGTAATGATGCTGAAAATACAGCTTTGCATCACAGGAATAAATTATATTTTACTATATATTCACATAGAAAGCAGTTATTTTAAGTTGTAATAATATTTCACATTATTACTGTTTTTACTGTATTTTTAATCAAATACATACACCCTTGGTGAGCAGAAGAGACTTCTTTAAAACTTTAAAATGTCAAAAAAGTGTTATTTAAAATTTTGTTTAATTATATAATTTTTTATTTTAATTTAATACATTTAATTATATTACAGTTGTATATAATGCAACATTTACTTTTGGACCACGGCCCTCCATCAAGTTTGATTTTTGCCTATTCGTATAAAAAGTTGAGAACCTCTGGTTCAAGAGATGAGCCTTTTTAGGTGCTGCAGTGCCACGCTAACTAGTTAAACTTGCTGTACTATTCTTGTCCACCTAGAACAGATGTTGAATAAATGCATATCCCCGTGGCTCATTCATGAACTTATTTCTGCAGGTGACCAAGTTGGAGCGAGAAAAGGTGCAGGAAGGCAAGCGCATTCGTGAACAGGAGCAGCATCGGCATACGGTGATGCTGACGGAGCAGCGGGCTCGCTGGCACGAGGAGAAGTTAAAGGAACTCGCAGCTCTGAGAGAATCGCTGACACGGCAGCACGAGCAGGAGTTAGCACGTACCGCAAAGATTAAAGAAGGCGAGATCCAGCGTCTGCGGACTGCGCTCAGTGCACTGCGCGATGGCAGCGGCGAGAAAGTGCGCACTGCTCTAACGCTAGAGGCCCGAGAGGAAGCCCGCCGCTTCTTTGACCACGAGCGCGTCAAGCTGCTGCAAGAAATAGTCGAGCTAAAATCCTCCAAACGACAGAAGGATGAAGCACTTAATACTATAATTTTAGCTGACAAGATGAAGGCAGGTGACCTGCGCTCTGAACATCAAGCGCACCAGGAGCAAATTTCCAAGATCAAGTGGGACAGTGAGCGAGATGTTCGTCGACTGGTAAACCGTCGTTTTTATTCTTAATCTGGAAATGTCAAATAAATTCTGTGGTCCGTTAAGCAAACATGGAAGATTTGATATTACATACTTCCAGGAGGTATCGACATTATAGGTATTATGTAGACCTTTATTGCCCGCATAATGATCTACAATAAAAAAAATAATTAACCTTTATAATATACAGACAACCATCTTAAAGGAAAATACTATTCACCCTCAGGCCATCAAAGATGTAGATGAGTTAGTTTTTTCATCAGATTTGGAGAAATGTAGCATTGCATCAGTGTCTCAGCAATGGATGCTCTGCAGTGAATGGGTGCCGTCAGAATGAGAGTCCAAACAGCTGATAAAAACATCACAGTAATCCACAAGTAATCCACACCACTCATCTTGGATGGCCCGAGGGTCATACATTTTCAGCATATTTTCATTTTTGGGTGAACTATTTCTTTAGAAACATAGATCTAACAGTATTTTGCTGTAAAATTACATGAAATTTTAAATACGCTAGCCTTTCGTGAAAAACTCTTTGGTGGACACGCGGCCTAATGTTCATTCATGTTTTGAGCGAGATGTTCGTCGACTGGTAAACCGTCGTTTTTATTCTTAATCTGGAAATGTCAAATAAATTCTGTGGTCCGTTAAGCAAACATGGAAGATTTGATATTACATACTTCCAGGAGGTATCGACATTATAGGTATTATGTAGACCTTTATTGCCCGCATAATGATCTACAATAAAAAAAATAATTAACCTTTATAATATACAGACAACCATCTTAAAGGAAAATACTATTCACCCTCAGGCCATCAAAGATGTAGATGAGTTAGTTTTTTCATCAGATTTGGAGAAATGTAGCATTGCATCAGTGTCTCAGCAATGGATGCTCTGCAGTGAATGGGTGCCGTCAGAATGAGAGTCCAAACAGCTGATAAAAACATCACAGTAATCCACAAGTAATCCACACCACTCATCTTGGATGGCCCGAGGGTCATACATTTTCAGCACATTTTCATTTTTGGGTGAACTATTTCTTTAGAAACATAGATCTAACAGTATTTTGCTGTAAAATTACATGAAATTTTAAATACGCTAGCCTTCGGGAAAAACTCTTTGGTGGACACGCGGCCTAATGTTCATTCATGTTTATTTCGTGCTATAACTTGTAGTAAAGAGGAAGAGATGATCGGTTCACATGCATTCTCACGCCACACATCATCACATCGCTGGCAATGCTCCAACAGACCAGCAGGCTACTTTTGAAACAAAGTCTCAGCATTCAAATTTTGTAATTTTTTAAAGAAATTCAAACAATAAATCTTATGTTTTGGGTTCTTTAATGTGACTGATCGCTGTAGCGCCTCGAGGCGTTCTAGAGGTTCAAACGTGAATCGATCATTTCCTGCTAGGTATAGCATGAAATACACATGAATGAACATCAGATGGTATGCTGTCTCAACCGCGGAAAGACGTCAGTTCACATTTTTCAAGTTCGACTCTTTCTGACGTTAATCTATTAACTTTCCTGTCTGGTTTGTTTGTCGAACAAATTGGCAGATTCGGCGTTATGATTGGTCAGATCGCCTGTCAATCAAGGGTGCTAAAAGCCTGGTCACTGGACAGTCAGCATAGTCCAGCCCTTTTTTTTGAGTATTACGTCATGAATAGAACAGATGTCATTGAGAGCATAGATATGTTTAGGTATCTATGGGTGAGAAGTGGAGGGGAGGTTAATAATTTTGATTAAAGATTACAAGTGCAAATGAATTTTTTAAAAACGATGTGCACAGATAAATCATTTGTAATAAATACTTCAGCACTCTGTAAAAAAAAATTACAGTTGTCATTTTTGATTTCATGGTGACTTTAAAAAGCCTAACCCTGACCCTGTGGCTTAACCCAGTATGACCTTTGTTAAACTGTGCAGGTGGATGAGATCAAGGCAAAGGACCGGACGATCTTCGCGCTAGAGAAAGAGCTGGAAACAGCGACAGGCTTCGTGCAGAAGCTGATGCTGCAGAAGGATGTGCTTGATGAGCAGCTGTTTCTGGTGAAAGAGGCAGAATGCAACCTGGGTAGCCCCAAAAGAGAGATCCCCGGCCGCGCTGGAGATGGAGCAGAGCACTGTGGGAGTCCGGTAAAGAAACTAGACTCGTCGAATCCACTAATGCACATGCAATTCCACAAATACACATGTGAATCCTTAGATGTTCTTGTAGTGCAGTCTTAAACACACAGTCTACAATTTGAAAATGATATCAGCATAAATTATTGCTGTTAAAAGAGCACATTTCTGTGTAAGAGAAACAGATTGAAAGATTAGAGTTAATCTAAATGGTTATGTCCGTTCTTGTAATGCATCATTTTAAGTTAAGGTGAATTGTTATTGCTATAAGCCAGTTGAATGACTGACTTAAAGCTACACCTGCAAGCACACAAACACTAATGCATTCACGTGATACTCTGCCAGTGTAAATATGGGTTAATACGGTAAACATTTTATATTAGTGCATACATTTTCCTTTATTATGCAATGTACTGGACATGTGTGTGTGTCAAGTTAAATGTTACAGGTATATCGGGTGTATGTGTTTTAGGACATGAGAAGAAACCAGAAACGCATGAGTGAACTCAAAGCCACCATTCGTAAACTGGAGGACCGCAATTCAATCTTAGTGGATGAAAGAAACGAGCTGGTATGTTTCTATGTCATTGATGTTGTTTGCATAGATGCTTCCTGGAAACTCAGTGTCGCAGTGAAGGATAAACAAGCAATGCCAACTGTGGAATTGTTGTTGGTTTTTACAGGACAATTAAATCCTCAGCATGCATCTTCTTTTATGTGCGGTCTTTCTCTTTTTATGTCTTTTGGTTATGAATAATTAACCCTGAATTGCTCCTCTCAGTTGAAGCGTGTTCGAGAAACAGAGAAACAGTGCAAGCCGTTACTGGAGAAGAACAAATTATTAAGTAAGAAAAATGATGAACTCAGTCATTCCCTTCAGAGGACGGAGGACAAGCTTAAATCCATAACCAAGGAGAACCTGGAAATGGTGGGTTCCTCTTTATTTTCTAATGCACTTTAAAATTTAATCCGCATTTTAAAGTGCAGGTTTGTGATTTCAGTTTAATGTGTGATTAAATCTAATGCATTTGTTTCCGAATGCTAACAAAGCACAGAAAGGCATCTCAGCGTCGCTCCTATATTTGAATCTCACCACAAATGTGATGTTTGAGCAGATAGCGCAATGTTATTTTAGTCAAGCAGCTGTATTGAACTTTGAATGTACGCTTTTTAAATGCTCTGTCGCTGTGTGTTGTTTTAATGCTGACAGTTTTTAAAAATTATATGGGTGCTTTGTTTTAAGATCACATAATTGCATATCGTTTTGAAGTATTTATACATGTATATTTAGCACTAAACCTTGTGTGTTTACCCGAGATAAATGTTTATATAATAATTTGGTTAAAAAAAAGTACGTATTTTTGAATGCGAATTCACAATCTCTCAGATGGACAGGAAATACTGAGCAAGGAATTCACAAATTATTATTATTGCCCAATATTAGCGGTTTTTATTTTCACATGCTGGGTGTTGTTTTTGCACCCCGTATGGTAAAAATCAGGTAGTGCCCCCATAAAATTTGTTTTGAATGCAATTTGCGTGGCACAATTCCCCATCTTGCAGGCTCATCCTTCGTGTTAGGTAGTAAAGTACCACAATCTAGTCTACTAGCTGTCCAGTTTCCTTTCATTACTATGATTCAGGCACCTGGATCGCTTCTTAAAGGGAGAGTTCACCCCAAAATGACAATTTGCTGAACATTTACTCCCCCTCAGGCCATCCGAGCTGTAGATGAGTTTGTTTCTTAATCAGATTTGGAGAAATGTAGCATTGGATCTCAGCAATGGATCATCTGCAGTGAATGGGTGCCGTCAGAGTCCAAACACCACAATAATCCACACGTTATCCACACTACTCCAGTCCATCAGTTAACATCTTGAGAAGACAAAAGCTGCGTGTTTGGAAGAACCAAATCCATCAAGGCATTTCAATTTTAAATATCACTTCTGGACAAAATACGAGTCCAAAATAACGCTTCCTCCAGTGAAAAAGTCCATCTCCTGTTTCCTCAAAATCCACCGACATTTGTTTGTTTTGGCTTGTAAACGGTGCTTGATCTGTACATATTTCACTCCTGTTTCAAGAAACCGATATTTTGGATAATAGACTTGTATTTTGGTTATAAACTAGGTTTTAAAGTTTAAATGTCTTGATGGATTTGTTTATTACAAACACGCAGCTTTTGTCTTCTCCAGATGTTAACTGATGGAGTGGTGTGGATTATTGTGATGTTTTTATCAGCTGTTTGGACTATCATTCTGACGGCACCCATTCACTGCAGAGCATCGATTGCTGAGACACTGATGCAATGCTACATTTCTCCAAATCTGATGAAGAAACAAACTCATCCTAATCTTGGATGTCCTGAGGGGGAGTACATTTTTTATTTTAGTGTGAACTATTCCTTTAAAATTACCTAAGGGTGACAACATGCCAGGATATATGCCTGAATAATGCTCTTTTCCTTAATTTGATAATCATTGGATACATATACTGCTGACATGATTACTACAAAATGTACAGAAACATTTCTTGTGAATAAAATACCGTTTACAGCTTTCTGCAGATGGAAAAGGCTGGATCCCCACTGCAAAAAAATATTTTTCAAAGTTAAAACAAATATTTTAGTGCATTTCACAAGAAAATACTATTTCAGTTTTTCTACTTCGAAATTGTACATTACTTGCCGTTTCTTTGTGATTATTTGTGAAATTCACTAGCAATTTCTGAGTGAAAATTGTTTCTACACCAACTTTTTTTTTTTTGCAATGCTGTTGTATTCCTACTGTTTTGTTGTGTTCAGAAGGAGAAGATTACCTCCCATCCTCCACTGAAGAAACTCAAGTCTCTGAATGATCTGGATCAGGCCAGCGACGATCAAGAGATTGAGTTCCTCAAACTGCAGGTTCTCGAGCAGCAGAGCATGATCGATGAGCTGACACGAGTGAGTGCTCCTCACAAACATCAGCCAGGAGTCACAGCAGAGAGCACCAAACACCCATCTATCATATCTTTCTTATGCATGTTACAGGATAGAGAAAAACTCTTGAGAAAGAAGAGGCATAAACGAAGCAGACCTATAAAGGTGAGGGTTTTTGAAAGTGTGTGCTTTTCTCAGCTAGCTATGTTTCCATCCAAAGTTGTGAACTGAACTTTAACTTTAAAAATGTGTATATATTGCATAACACATTTGTGAATAAAGCACAGTTTCCATCCCATGTATTCAAGAGAACCAAATCTTCACTTCCTGGAAAGTTCACTTCGCTGTAGCCTGTATCATTTCATATCGAAGCGCAAAAGAAACTATGAAAGTGCAATGTCATAGTTATGTCATCAGTTAAGTCATGAAGTTACCAAAAAGGCAATTAAAGCTGCCGTAAAATTGTGCATGTATGTAAGTATTTGTTATATATATATATATATATGAGTCACATTTATGAACATGTCTCTGAAATGCAGTGTTTTTTTTAAAAACTGTTCTGTCTCACTCATCTAACAAACCCTGATTCAACTCCTCAGCTCATTATAGAGACTTTAAGAGCTGAGGTGGGTCAGAAAAGGTAAAGAGTATTGAGAAACTTTGACGCGTGTCAGATCTGCATCATGTTCAGCAGCAGCAGCTCTTAAAGCAGCCAAAATAACCTCATAACCAGCTGCTGTGATGACTCTTCAAAAAGAACAAAAGAGGAAATCAATAACTTTTGTAGCTTTAAGGATTCTCCTACATTTAATTTAGAATTTAGTGTCTGATAACTTTATGCAATTTCTGTATATTTCCTAAATGATGAAGGGCACAGGTAGCTAAATATGACATTTATTATAATGGGTTTATGTGAAGTGTTTTAAGTTCACTTAAATTAGAAGTTGTTAAAGTCTAATAAATGTTAAAATAATTAGCTCTCAATTATAATGTAATGTTGTATGGCTAGATAATGGTTAAATATTAGGGAAAAAAACTATTACTTGCCTTCAGTCACAAAAAAGATGCCATTAAACAAATATACAAAATACACTGTTCTTTATGTCGTTTCTACATTAATTTGAAGATTGTGAAATTATTGCAATATAAAAGTATATTTAAAAACTTTAATGTTAGGTGGGATTAAGGATGATTAATTTCAGAAAAAAATGCGATTAATTAGTTCATTTTTATTAATTGATTGACAGCACTAATAAAAACTACTTAATTATGCCAAAATATTCTGATGACACACTTTGGCTCAGGAATTTCATAATGTCTAAAACAATATTTTAGACAGTGTGCAATGAGATTAGTCTGCAAATGAGTCCAGTTATCCAATCACCTGATCTGTTAAGACAATGTCACGTGAGTTTTTTGTTGCGCAGCCAGGAATTTATTTAGTAAATGGGTTTACATCGTAGTTTATGCACGATTTGTTACCGGATTAAAACATTAAAACATAATGCACATTTTAAGATTCACATTTCCATTCAGTGTTTTTATGCGATACCCCAAAATTTGTGGATGCAAGCATTGCTACTGTTACAGTATTTTCTTCTATCAGCATTCAAAACATTGCAATCTGTTTTTTAACTTTTGGAGCAACCAGCCACACTGGGGTTCAGAATATCCGAAATTCAATGAAAAGGTCCATATTTACCTAGAATTGCTCTTGTTGTTCCCCGCGCAGAGGCATATTGTTGTAGACACATTCTATGGGTATGATGAAGAGTCCATGGATTCAGAAACTTCCTCCGTGGCTTCCCTGCGCATGGATCGAACCCCGGCTACGCCAGATGAAGATTTAGACGAGGTGAGCATTCAGCAAGATTATGGATTTCCTTCATTTCTCAGTCAGGTTTCCTGTGTTTTATGCTGTTCATGTTCATTATTTCTCATAGACTTTTTTATTCTTAAAGGGTCTGGCGGCTGAAGAGTCTGAATTGCGCTTTAAGCAGCTGACACGGGAATATCAGGCTCTTCAAAGAGCCTATGCTCTGCTGCAGGAGCAGAAAGGAGGTGTGCTGGACGCTGAAATGGAGGCTAAGGTATTCTTCAAATACTGCCTGTGCACAACTGGTTACCCATTAACATTACAGAAATTAGGTCTCTTTTGCCCAGATTTATTACCTCTTTCAAAAATACATTATAAATGCAATTCACACATACAACAATATGAAGACACATTTTAATATAATTAATATGTTTTTAATTTCTGAATGAAACATTATTTTGATATTCAAATGTTGGAGTGGTACAGCTATCCTGATGAATGAACTGTCAAAAAGAAAGAAAAATCCTCATCATGGTTATTATTGTTAAAGGCACAATATGTAAGATTTTTTTATTAAAATATCCAAAAACCACTAGAACAGTGTTATATATTTTGCTGACTTGTGTACTTACATTATCCCAAATGTTTCGAGGAATATTTAAATCCAGAGTAATAAGCAATTTTAACTCGTGACACGGAGCGTGTCCATAGTGTCAGAGCGGTCGACTGTGGCATAATAAAAGCTCCGCTGCTTTACCCCACATACGCACGACCGGAAGCAGCGGAAGCGCTCGACTGTGGCATAATAAAAGCTCCACTGCTTTCCCCCACATACGCACGACCGGAAGCAGCGGAAGCGCTCGACTGTGGCATAATAAAAGCTCCACTGCTTTCCCCCACATACGCACGACCGGAAGCAGCGGAAGCGCTCGACTGTGGCATAATAAAAGCTCCACTGCTTTCCCCCACATACGCACGACCGGAAGCAGCGGAAGCGCTCGACTGTGGCATAATAAAAGCTCCACTGCTTTCCCCCACATACGCACGACCGGAAGCAGCGGAAGCGCTCGACTGTGGCATAATAAAAGCTCCACTGCTTTCCCCCACATACGCACGACCGGAAGCAGCGGAAGCGCTCGACTGTGGCATAATAAAAGCTCCACTGCTTTCCCCCACATACGCACGACCGGAAGCAGCGGAAGCGCTCGACTGTGGCATAATAAAAGCTCCACTGCTTTACCCCACATCCGCACGACCGGAAGCAGCGGAAGCGCTTGACTGTGGCATAATAAAAGCTCCACTGCTGTACCCCACATACACACGACCGGAACCAGCGGAAGCGCTCGACTGTGGCATAATAAAAGCTCCTCTGCTTTACCCCACATACACACGACCGGAAGCAGCGGAAGCGCTCGACTGTGGCATAATAAAAGCTCCGCTGCTTTCGAGCCATGTGTTGCGCTCGTTTCGCTTCGATGGCTTTCAGCCTCACCCTGCTTCATTCTACTACGTTAATAAATCATTAGCTCATCCATGAACATGATTTCTCCCCGAGTCCCGTCGGATTGCATCGGCTGTGGGGATGCAGACCACAACTCCCATGATTCCACACTCAGTCACAGCCTCATCAAACTACGCCTTTGATTAGCCTTTGCCTTTGATTTGTTTGTTTTGAATACGCGCCCTCTAGCGGCGAAAAATTACATATTGTGTTGTTATTATATATAGTTTTCTTATCTTTGCAGGCTCATGAGCAGCTCCAGGCAGACGTTCAAAGGTATAAAGCTAAAATTGAAGACCTGGAAAACGAGCTCGCTTTAAAAGGACAGGTAAAAGTCTTTTACTCTTATTGATATTAGTGCATGCAAAATTTATACCCAGTGACCTGTGATTGCGTGACATTTCAGCACGCTCATACTGCAATTTCTAGTGTGGTATTTATCTTGCTGAGTGTTTCTCCATGCTTAAAAACTGATTTCACAGAGTATCTGGTTGTAAAGCACACGTACTGTATGTCTGATTCACATCATTTGCTCTCTTCCTTACAGGACTCCAGATGGGTGGAAGAGAAGCAACTGTTCTTCAGGCGCAATCAAGAGCTGCTGGTGAAGGTGAGTGAACACGATGAACAAAGTAATCAGTGTTGGGGAAAGTTACTTTCAAAAGTAATGCATTGCAATATTGAGTTACTCCCTACAAAAGTAACTAATTGCATTACTTAGTTACTTTTTATGCAAAGTAATGTTACTTTTGTGTTACTTTTTCTCATCTGGGCTGTGCTTGCCTATTTGGTTTCAATATAAAAAGTTATATTTTTGGCAAATGTAAAGGCTCCTTCACACCAAAAGTGAAATGAATAAGCGTCAGGCCGAAGGAAATGTAAATTCACTTCTGTACAGTAGAGGGCGCAGCTCAAACAAACCTTCTGGATTACATGAAGAATAGGATGCAGGAGAAGAAAGTTCAGCACTCTTCAGCAATTAAAAAAATTAAACACAAATGTCATGTTTATCTGAAGTCATTTTTGGTTGTTTGTATGGTTGAATCGGATCATCGAATATCAGCAGCATCTGTGCAACATCATCCGCATCTTCAGTCAGATGACATTTTTTCTGATGTTTCTTCGCCAGGTTGAAAAGTCTGAGAATGAAAACGGAAAGCTGCAGCAGGAGCTACAGGACTCTAAAGATCAGAACGAACTCCTGGAGTTTCGCATTCTTGAGCTGGAGGTTTGATCTCTGTCCACAAATCACTGCTGGCTTCGTGACTTTTTAGCTTGCAATTCTGAGAAATCTTTTTTGAGAGGAATTGCGAGACGTAAACTTGGAATTGTGAAAAAGAAGACGAAAAAAAGGCAGAATTGAGAATTTGTATCTCACAGTTCTGACTTTTTTATTTCTTAGAATTCTAAGTTTATGTCTCACCTTTCTGTTTTTTTATGCCGTGGAGTAAAACATAAAAATGGTAATTGCAACTTTTTATCTTACAATTTTGACTTTTCGTTCTTAGAATTGCAAATTTATATTTCACAATTCTTAGTTTATATAGAAAAAAATCTGAATTGTGTGATAAAAAAAATCACAATTACCTTTATTTATTTCTTTATTTAAAATCTTGGAAACATAGAAACAAACTTCCAGAAGAAACTGTATTTTAAATTACTGATAGAATACATAGACCGTTACATTTATTATGGTTGACATTACATTCATTAAGATTTTTGACATTAACAACATTAAGCGATGCACACAGAGATGCACTATTTAGATCAGGTTTATTCTGAAGAGCCAGTAACTAGTCATTTATTCATATAATGTTTTTTCTCTTAAAATGTTAAAGAGTGTAAATGTCATCATCATATATCTAAAGAATTGAAGTCTGTAAAACATGACCTTATTGATTCAATTCAATCACTCTGCTGTTTTATTCCAACCGTTACTCCTGCTCGAATGCTTCCATAAATATTACGTTTATACACAGAGTTATAAATATGTACATACATGTAAGTAAAACACATCGCGTCAGTAAGAACTTGGTCCTTTGTTCACTTCATTTCACCACGGATTCGTTTATAAACAACAATTCAATGCAGGATTTTCAGAGAGACTGGAACTAAAAGACGATGCTGTGCTGAATATAGACAGTAATGTCGCACCACACGAGTGTGAGGAACTGTTCTTATTATGTGATCTCTATTGCTTTGTCTGTTATTACAGATCGTTGATATGTACTGAGTATTTATGCCTCCATCTGTGAAGGATGTAGGCTGTCAAACATACACAACTGTTACTGCTATATGATGATGTTTTTGATGTAAAAATTAACATTATAAGTGGACCTCAGAGAACAGCACAAAATAATAAAAAATGCCGTTCATGACCCCTTTAAAATCTTACTGATCCCAAACCTTTGAATGGCAGTGTGCATAACCAAATAAACACAAAACACTGATTTGATTTGAAATATTTTATTAGAAATGTAGTGTAAATCTTCTGTGAAGTTAAACAGTTCCTAGCAAGCAGCTTTGGGCCAAGACCAACAAACAAATTCAAACAAAGCAGACATTTAAGGGTCTTTCACCACATCATTTTAAGACAGGGCATGAAATATAGAAGAAATCATATTAAAATCTTACCTGTTTGTCATCTTATAATCCATTACAGTGTAGAAAACAATCATTCTGGCAAAAAGACAAACAATTCGACAGTATTACCGCTGGCCCGCTTTTAGACTTAAGGAAAAACGAAAGAGAGCGTTTGCATCTGACGTAAAGGGTATTTCACAGTATAATAAGGTCATTTTTCCTGTATTGGATGTTAGAAGCTTAAATTATTACGCAGATGTCATTTGTGAGATGCAGTGCAAGACAGATGCATTAATTATTATCATCTACGACATGACTGTTGACTTGCAGGAGATGTTCTGCAAACAGAAGGGTTATCTGGAGGAGGAGCTGGACTACAGGAAGCAGGCGCTGGATCAGGCCTATATGGTAAAAAACTTCTGCATTTTAAGCCAATTCTTCTTTTCCAAATCAATAAACACGCAGGTGGTCTTTAAAGTAATGTGAATCAATATTAAAAAAAAAGAATGGAAATGACAGTGAATATAAAAAAGCTTATCTGATGTGTTCAGAGTTGTAGATGCGTGACTCTTTGGGTAAGTGTTCACGATAATATCCAAGTCCTGTCCCGTTGATGATGAGAGAAAATGAACAGCCACAGACACACACACACACACACTCTCACAAACACACACACACACACACACTCTCACACACACACTCTCTCTCTCTCTCTCACACACACACACACACACACACACACACAC